CTCCTCGGCGCTGGACTCCTCCAGCGCTGTGCCTCATGGCCGATGAGCAGCGCAGCTGCAGTCTCGAAATAGCGCAGCAGGGAGTCTCCAAAATAGCGCAGCAGCCAAGTTCCTGAACCAGCATAACGCTGGATTTCTCCTGGTACCTTCTGTCCACGAACTGGGCAACGGCCCAGCTTATGTAGCGCTGGGCCAGGACTGAAAACCCACGGCCTGCGTTCTGGGCCGTGCAGATCGAAATCCGATCCACGGTCCAGATCGCAGACTTTGAAACTGGTTCAGCCTTTGGCCTAAAACGGCCTGCCTGGGTCCCTACCGGACGTCCAGGCCCTGTCCAGGATTCAGTTTCCTGGTACCTGACTTCGAACCGGTCCTGTGCGGACGTATCCGGCCTCAACGTTGGCCTGGGTCCGAACAGGTAGCAATCTGTTCGAAAACAAAAGAAAAGGTCCAAACGTTTTTAGGAGCTCAGCCTCTGGGCCTGAATCTGGCCCTRGTCCTAAAACGTGYACCTGGCCACAAAACGGACAACAGTAYAACCGTTARAAAAACAGCAGCAAATAWATAAATAAAAGAATATAAAAATAATCTAAAGCTGGCGTTTTTCTGATGCAGGCCCAAGTAAAAATGCCATAGGGCCTTCAGGTTGCGGTGACGCGACCTGGGGGCCCTATTCCAACCTCGGGTCCCGTGAGGGGCCCGTGTGTAGGCTTTCAGCATGTAACACGCCCCCCTCCTTATGAAGACGAGCCGGGGCGCGGGTGAAGCTGCCGATCCGATGGGGAATGTAGCGAGGAAGGCGAGGAGCTGGAGTGCTCGGCGTAGTCTTCCCTTTGCTAAGATAACATGAGAGAACGGCGGGAGCTGTGGCCTGCAGTTCCGAACGCGTCAGCCAACGGTCAGCCTTGTGGCTGCAGTAGGAAAAGTGAAGTAGAAACTTTGTTTCTTTGTTGCCATGGCGCCGGTCGATGATGATGTAGCCGGCCTCCTGAAATCCGTCCATGGAAGGAGGGTCTTGCGTACGTCGACCGGGAAACTCATCGGACTCCGCTGAGACGAAAGGAGCGAGTTTGGAACAGTGGAACACCGTGTGGACGGGCAAGTGAGGTGGCACCGCGATGCGGAATGAAGGGCCCTCGGGATCATCACCAACTACAGAGAGAATGCGCCAATGCCCTATCCACTTGGGAAGGAGCTTGCGAGAGATGTCTTGCTCGAGGCTGAACTCCGCGGCGGAGACCCAAACCAGATCGCCGGCGCGGAATGGGCAAGGAAGGCAATTGCAGTTGGCTTGACGGCTCATCCGTATTTGCGTCTTCAACATCTGATCCCGTGCCTTAACAAGAAGCTCTTGCATGCGACGAAGGAACGCAAGATGGTCGTCGCTCTCGGCTGTGCGCGGCAAAGTGGCGTCCAGCGGCGATGAGATGGGTGAACCATGCTCAAACTCGAATGGCGACATCCCGATAGCCGGATGGATCGATGAGAGTGCGTAAAAGGACTTGAGTGGTCTGATGCGCCCTTTCCGTTTGACCATCGGTTTGCGGGTGGCGAGCCGAACTCGACTTCAAAGATGAGCCCCATCGCTTGACAAGGGCGACCTAAAAGTCGGAGACAAAGCGAGTGTCCCGGTCGCAAACGATCTCCTTGGGGTAGCCCTTGGAGCGAATCCAACCGGTGTATAAGACCTCGGCTAACTCCGGTGCCTTTGCGTGATAGCGGCAAGGCAAAAACATGGCGTACTTGGTGAGGCGGTCGACGGCCGTGAGGATCCCATCAACGCCGGTCTTGTGCTTCGGGAAGGGGCCGGTGATATCCATAGCAATTGCTTCCYGTCGCCCAAGGGGCACTGGTAATGGGTGTAACTCGCCGAACGGACGATGGTTGCGTGACTTGCAACGCCGACAGACTTCGCACGACTCACAATAGTGGGTGGCGTCCTTGAGAAGGTCAAGCCAATAGAACCGCTGGCGAAGTCGGCCAAGTGTACGGTTGACACCAAAATGTCCGGAGGCGGGCGCATCGTGAAACTCGCCAAGAAGCCGTGTGCGCAAGTGTGAATCATTCAGCACACAAAGAAGATCCTTACCCCGTGAATGCACAAGTAGGTAACCCTCTTGGATCCGATAATGCGAAGGCTCCGGATTCGGAGAGGAGCAATTCGCGTACTTGTCGCGAAAGTGGGGGTCGGCTTGATAGCCGCGGATGAARCTCTCCCGCAAGTCGTCGTCGATCTCGAAGGTAKAGTAGAYTGYGGTGCAAAGATCCGGTCGCCGTGAGAGGGCGTCCGYAAAACRGTTTGACTTYYCGGGAATGTGATCRRGGAAAAAGTCAAACTRGTCGATGAARGCCATCCAACGGGCAATGGTACTGTTAATCGTGTCTTGCGACTTGTAGAATACCAACGGATTGTTATCCGTTACCCATCGRAATGCTTTCCGACCAAGGAGGAAATGTCGCCAACGCTTGAGGGCGTGGATGAAGGCAAAAAACTCCTTCTTCCGTGCGTCGTCGATCGAATGCACGGGAGGTACTTTCTTGCTAAAGTACTCGACTAGGTGCCAGTCCGTGCCATCATGCTGCTCAAGGACGGCCCCAATGCCATAGCCCGACGCATCGGTAGTGACGCGCGTAGCTAAAAGCGGGTCGTAAATATGTAACACCTCGGCGGATAAGAGTGCCGCTTTGAGTGTTTCAAAAGAATGGCGCGCATCTTCATCGAAGTCAAAAGGCCGCTCCTCGCTTTGTAACTTGCTTAGGTTGGCYGCGATCTTCGAGTAACTCTTGATGAAATGCTGATAATAACCGGCCAAGCCGAGGAAGGATCGGACGTCCGTCACATTCTTCGGCTCGGGCCACTCCTGGATGGCTTGAATCTTGTCYGCYAACGGACGAATGCCTTCCGGAGAGACAAAATGACCCAAGTATTCAAGCTCTTGCCGGACAAACTCGCATTTGTCGCGGTTAGCTTTGTACCGGGCTGACCGAAGAGTCTCTAGAACACGGCGAAGGTGCTCGAGATGCTCCTCTAGAGTTCGGCTATAGACGAGGATGTCGTCTAAGTAGACCAAGACGAAGCGGTCCAACATAGCGCGAAACTCAGTGGTCATGGCCACCTGAAAGGTGGCCGGGGCATTGGTGAGGCCAAAGGCATAACTACCCACTCAAAATGCCCATATCGCGTCTTAAACGCGGTTTTGTACCGATCTGGCGGGCGGATGGAAATCTGATGGTAGCCCGACTTKARGTCCAACTTGGAAAAGTACTTGGCGCCGCCCAACCGCTCAAGCAAATCGTCAATGCGAGGTAGAGGCCCCGCGTTCTTGATGGTTTGCGCGTTGAGGCGTCGGTAGTCAATCCAAAGTCGAAGGTCCTTGTTCTTCTTCCGAACGAAGAGAACGGGCGCACCGTAAGGTGAGCTGCTAGGGCGGATCCAACCCTTATCAAGTAGATCGTCGAGTTGTGCACGGAGAACCGTGAGCTCCTCCTCGGACATGCGATAAATGCATCCTTTCGGTGGCACGACGCCGGCCTTAAGTATGATCTCGTGAGAGATTGGCCGGTCCGGCACTATACCGGAGGGTGTCTCAAAAACATCCGAGAACTCGTCTTACAACCGGGTCACACAGGGGTCGGAAGACACATCTGTGGACGATGAATCGGTTGTCGGGACTGTTCGAAGCAAAGCGATGTCAATCTCTTCGACATGCTTGGAACGGCATGTGTCTCGAAAAGATTTGGCACGCACGACTTGGCACCGAATGGAAGAGCGAGGAGGAGGAATAGTACACGGGACCTCGGCGCCAATTGCATCACGAATCGTGAGCGTGCGTCGATGGAAATTGACCGTGTGGTCCAAGCTCGAAAGCCAAGGCATCCCCAAAATGACATCGAAGTCGGTGTCCAACACGTCAAAAGTGACGGGTTCACATGCGTGCGGTGCAAAGTACACCGGGACAGCCGATATGTAACGGTCTATAAGTTGTTTCGTCTTACCGTCGACAAGAGCGACCGTCGTCGGATGTAACTTCCTCCGTACTTGTGCGCCAAGGCCAGCCCGAGTCATGAAAGACTGGCTGATGAAGTTGCGAGTTGCGCCGCAATCTAGCAAAGCATTGCAGGCCGCTTGCCCAATCTAAATGCGAGCGTAGAGCAACGGTGCGTTGTTTTCTTCTTATCGTTGCGAGACAAACTCGCCGGCCACCTTGGCAACGTAGCCAAGCATGTCCCCCACCGCGACTTCGTCTACCGTCGGCGAAGTTGGTGGTGCATGGAAGGAAAGATACTCGTGTAAGAGGGCGCATAGGGCTGCGCTTTGCGGCCCTGGAAGGTTGCCCATCGTAGGGAGAGGAATCCAAGCGAAGTCCTCGGGCGTGAGCGGGTCCAAAGCCTCCTCGTTGAATACGCTTGTCGAATCCCTTGATGAAGACGAACTGGCGGAAGAACCTTCGGACGGTGAGAAAGCCGCACATGTATCTTGTCCTTGAGAAGCATCCAGTGAAGGAATGATCCGGGCAGCGAAGTCTTCGAACGAAAGTGGAAGACTCCCGACATCCGCATATGCCTCGGAAGAAAGGGCAGTCGTGCGCACAACCGCTTCCGATGGCGTCGAGGGAGGTGTCGAGTCACCCTCGGCGGCGCCTACTTTCCCTRACGGGGTTTCCCCTTGGTGGGGCAATGAGCAGCATCGTGGATGGTGCTGTTACACCAAAGGCAGTAACGGTACTTGAGTCTCGTGCGATAAGAATTCGCCAAGAGTCCGTATTGTGCCAAAGGTTCGGCGACGGCTGATCCGGTGCTCGGTGTAGAGGTGGACTGAGTCTTCGTCTTGTCGCGGCCGTGATTGTTGCGCGGCCGGCCACCATCCCGGGCAGCTGCCAACACTTCACCCTCGTTTGGTGTTGCAGCCTCAGTAGAAGTAATGCAAGCCACCTTTGGCTTGGGCTGGGTGCCACTCGTCATCGCGGAAGATCGGCCGGCGTTGCGGGCTTCGATATTCGTGAGAATGATCCGTGATGCTGTGTTGAAAAGCTTGTCAAATGTGTCGAGTGTCTCTGCAATCTGCGTCAGCGCGTTTTGCAGAGCTGGACACGAGCGCATGATAAACAAGTGCTTGATGGTGCGGAATGCGAGCGGCAGGTCAGGTGTGGAGGCGAGTCTTTGGAACTCGGTAATCCAGTCCTGACTGAGCAGCGTGTTCTGATGGAGCTTGTTGAGCTTGTCCATCGCTTGCAGCTCGGGCGGCTCCACTTGGAATCGCTTGTGCCAGGTGTCGGTCAACTCCTGCCAAGTGAGCTTGGTGTGCAGTTCCGACACTGCTACGCCGTGGCTGGTCAAGATGTTGTCCAGCCATGCTTGACACGCACCACCAGATCGGTGGTACAAGCACGGATGTCGATCGTTGTTCGGGACATGGTGCATGTCGAGCCTGAGAGTAAACTGGCACCACCACGGGATCGGTTCCGTCTTGGACTGATCGCAGAAAACTGGTATGTCATCCAGTTTGGGTGGGCGCCGGGAGGATGCGGCGGCGGGCGTCACGATGGCAGCAGCCTGGACCTACGTCTCCAACTGTGAGTTCGTTGCTTGCTGCGACGTCCGGAAGTCCTGATGCACACGCTTGATGTTGCTGACGTCATCCTCCAAAACTTGCACACGGGTGGTAAGGTTGGAAGGCCCTGCGGCTGTTACAGCAGCTGGCTGTTTCTCCAACGCCTGCAGCCGTGCGAGCATTTGGTCCACTGTCTTGTGCAGGTGAAGGATTTCCTCCTGCTGCAGAGCACAGGTGACCACGAGGTCGTGGGAGACCTGCGCAAGGGCTGACAGCCCTTTCTCAGTCTCCGGGGCCCCGTCTGCAGATGCCTCTTCCACCCAATGTGCGGCCTCATCGCCGATCACGGTCTCCCGCGTGAACAGTCGTTCCCGCTGGCGTGACCGGTGTTCGGYTGCCGCCTGCAGGTCTGCCTCTTCTTGACGAAGTCGGTCCTGTTCCTCCTTCCGTCGCTTGGCCTCCTCCTCTTGTTCAAGCCGCTTACGTTCCTTGGCCGCGGCGGCAGCCCTATCGTTGGCCTCCTGAATGAATGCCGCCAAGCGTTCCTCATAGGCCAGGAGGGATTCTCCCGCCTTCCGGTCCATGGCCTTGGTCTGTGATCGAGTAAGCAGTGTCATGCACTGCTGTGCCCGAAGTCTGAAGAGTCCCCCGAGGGCCAATCTGATGGACTGGCTCGGTACCCGGACTGGGGGGGAGGAACAGGTCGGCAGCGGACAGGTGGGAAGGATCGGACAGACCAAAAATTGAACAGTTTCCTAATAAAAAAAGGGAAAAAAAATAATAATAATAATTTTGATTAAGAAGAAATAAAGAAAAATTCGAAAAGAAAGACTGTCCAATCCCACTGAGTGCCGAAGGTGATGCAGAAAGCAATTGTGAACCTTCGGTGCTCAAACTGCAGAAAATCAGAAAAGAAGTATCTTTACAAACTCAGAGTAGGAGTAGGTTGCAAAAAAGAAAAAAAATGCCGTTTTTTTATTCGAAAAAAAAGAACGGAATTTGCAGACCTACGCAGTGAAAGTGTAGAGGGACAGTTTCAAAAAAAAAAGAATCACGAAATTATCTAAATGCAGACATTTAACAATTAAGCAAGGTAAAAAAAAATTCGGAAAAGGAATTCTGAGAACGAAAAAAAAAATTTGAAACCAAATTTCGCGGAAAAATAATTTTTCGGAAAAGAATAATAATTTCTTGAAGAATTCTCTCGGAAAAAAAAAAGAAATAATTTCTTGGAAAAAAAATTCTCGGAAAAAGAAATAATTTCTCGGGAAAAAAAAAATTCTCGAAAAAAAAAAAAAATTCTCGGAAAGAATTTTCTCGGAGAAAGAAATAATTTTTCGGAAAAAAAAAATTCTCGGAAAAAGAAATAATTTCTCGGAAAAAAAATTCTCGAAAAAATAAATAATTTCTTGGGAAAAAAAATAATCAAATAATTAATTCCGAAAAATTTCCAAGATTAAATAAACAATTGCCAGATAATCAATCAACCTAATTAATCAATCAATCAATCAATCAATCAATCAATCAATCAATCTCCTGATTGACTGATCAATCAATCGAAGATTGATTGGTGGCAAACCGCCAATCCAATCAATCAATCGATTGATTGGTTGTTGCCAAGATTCATCGCCAATGCTCCTATACCACTTGTAGCATATAAGAAAGTGAAATGCACTGAGAGCCTAGGATCTAGCAATGACGAAAGTGGCAACAACCAGCAGCATAGGTGCAACATTCACAAGATGTCAATGTGCACGGTGCAAAGGGTGAACCAACGAGAAATCAACAACACACATTCGTATCATTATCATCATGGGCTGGGAAGCAGCGCAGCGGAAGATTTAGTATCAAAGGACACGTGGACAACAACATGAAAAGGAGAAAACTTCGGAAGGGCAAGACATAAGAAAGATTGCC